CAAAGAGACCAGCTGTCAGGAGCCTAAGTCGCTCGATAAGGAGTCGCAGGGTTCTTTCCCAGTAATTCAGGGTACCACAGAGCCATTTGTTGACTTTGTGGCCCGAATGCAAGATGCTGCCGATAAGATATTCTCTGATCCGGGAGTGGCTCGACCGCTGGTAAGGCAGCTGATTTTTGAGCAATGTACAAAGGAGTGCAAGGCAGCGATAGCTCCTCATAAGAACAAGGACCTCAACGCCTGGATTAGGATATGCAGAGAGATAGGGGGGCCGCTCTCCAACTCGGGAGTGGCTGCTCTCCTGGCCGCGGCTGTACAGCAGAGGGGACTTCGCGGGTTAGAAGGGGAATGTAAGGCTAAAGGGTGTTTTGCCTGCGGGGAGCCAGGACACATTAAACGTCACTGCCCAAACAATGCAGATGCTAGGCCTCGCCCTAGGAATGAAGAACCATATGTTTGTGGGCGATGCAAGAGGGGATCACACAAAGCTGAGGAGTGTAGGTCGGTCTTTGATGCTCAGGGCAACCGTATTTGTGGACGAGATGCTACAGAGCCAAAAAACGGCCAGAGGGGGCCCCCTTCACAGGCGGGCCCCCGCCCCAGAGACAGGACAGCTCAGGATGGCAGCCTTCAACAAGGGCCACCCCTGGGTCAGCAGGTGTGGACCTCAGTGTCGCCTCCGGACTTATATTAGTGCCTGATATGGGTGTTCAAGTGGTTGAAACCACCTTTAAGGGACTGTTACCCGAAAATTCCGTGGGTCTGGTGATCGGGAGATCCTCCACGGCCCTTCGGGGTCTCATAGTAGTCCCGGGGGTCATAGACTCAGACTACACAGGACACATTAAAATTATGGTTCAATCTCTTGTGGGTACTATGGTAATCAATAAAGGAGACAAGATAGCGCAGCTCTTGCTGCTCCCCAGTCTCCATAAGAGATTCCCCTCAAAGCAGAAAATTAGAGAAAGTCAAGGTTTCGGTTCCTCAGGGGAAGTCTTCGAGGGACTCCATATAACACTTGATAAAAGGCCCATGCTCTCACTTAAGGTCAACGGCAAGAGTATAACAGGGCTCCTAGACACAGGAGCTGACCGTTCCATTATCTCTAGAAAGGATTGGCCCTCCAACTGGCCCACCAACACTGCAGATAACACGCTGCAGGGCCTGGGGATGGTGTCAGCTCCTCAGGTTAGTGCTTCAACCCTGTTCTGGTGCGATGAGGAGGGTCATCAGGGCCATTCCCAACCATTTGTGTTGCAGTTGCCAGTGTCTCTATGGGGAAGGGACATCCTCACTCAGATGGATGTCACGCTTACGTCAAACTGCTCCCCCCAGGCTAAGGATATACTCAGGAACCAGGGATATACCCCCGGCAAAGGCTTGGGCAATGCCCTGCAGGGTCGGACATCCCCAATACCAGTAGAGAACAAAAAAGGTAGGCAAGGATTGGGTTTTTCTTAGGGGCCGCTGAAGAAGCTCTCCTACCCACTTCGATCAAAATCACCTGGAAATCAAATGATCCGGTTTGGGTACCTCAGTGGCCCCTGCCTAAGGAGAAGCTATTAGCCTTGTCAGAAATAGTCAGTACACAACTTAGATTAGGACATATTAAGCCGTCAACCTCCCCATGGAACACCCCCATTTTTATAATTAAGAAAAAGTCTGGCAAGTGGAGGCTGCTCCATGATCTAAGGGCGGTCAACGCGCAGATGCAGTCCCTGGGGGCGGTCCAGAGGGGGCTGCCAGCTCTCTCAGCCATCCCTCAGTCCTGGCCAGTTTATGTTATAGATCTTAGAGACTGTTTCTTCTCAATCCCCCTGCATCCAGAGGACACTCATAGGTTCGCCTTTACTTTACCCACCATTAACCAAGAAAGCCCTGATCTCAGATACGAGTGGGTAACGTTGCCCCAAGGTATGGCCAACAGTCCCACTATGTGTCAGATTTACCTTGATTCCCTACTGGCCCCCCTACGGAAATCCTTTCCCAAGATAAGATGTGTGCATTACATGGACGACCTTTTGCTCAGCGGCAGGGACCCAGACATGCTAAATAATATGCTCGGCCAGTTGGTCGAGGCCCTGAGACAAGCTAATCTGCATGTTGCCCCCGACAAGATTCAGGGAGGAGAAATGGTGACCTACTTAGGCGCGAAAATCTCCCCTATGCTAGTCTCTCCGCAAAAGATCACCATTAGGATGGATGGCGTTAGGACCCTAAATGACATGCAAAGGCTATTGAGAGACATTAATTGGATTAGGCCATATTTACATATACCAAATTCAGATCTCAAACCCCTGTTCGACCTTCTGAAGGGAGACCCAGATATAGCCTCCCACAGGAGGCTCACTCCTGAGGCAAGAGCTGCCTTACAGAGAGTGGAAAAAGCCTTAGGTGGGGCTACCTTACACAGAATTGAACCAGGGCGACCCTTTGATGTCTGTTTGCTACAGACTAGTCTACAGCCCACAGCGGTGATTTGGCAGAAAGGACCATTACTGTGGATACACCCTAAGGTCTCACCTGCAAAAGTCATAGAGCATTACCCAGAGGCAGTCGCTTCATTGGCCCTTGAAGCGCATGATAGAGCTGTCCAACATTTTGGCTCAGGACCACAAGCCATCCAAATACCCTATACCGCCAGCCAGATCAAGACCCTGGCTGCCTGCATAGATACTTGGGCCATTCTGAGATGTGTTTTCCATGGGGATATAAACAATCAATACCCTAAAGACCCTATCTTGTCATTTGTCACTCAGCACCCTATAATTTTTCCAAAGGTTACTGCCTCTGAGCCATTAGTCCCAGCAACTACAATATACACAGATGGCTCCAAGACGGGGATAGGCGCCTATGTGATCCTAGGCAAGCCCCCGGTTACCATACAATTTGAACCAGATCAGCCTCAGGTGGTAAAACTGCAGATCGTTAAAATGATTCTTGAACGGTTCTCAGAAGCCATTAACATTGTCTCCGATTCTAGGTATGTGGTCAATGCTATGCAAGTGCTTGAGACTGCCGGTTTAATTAGATCCACTTCCACAGTGGCTGGGCTGTTCCTGTCTATCCAGACATTGCTTCAGAACAGACACCATAAGGTCTTCACCACCCACATAAAAACACATACATCCCTGCCGGGGCCCATGGCACAGGGGAATGCGGCTGCTGATACTGCCACTCGCCCATTATGGATTTTTACCTTACTAACACCAATCGAGCGAGCCCGTGCCTTCCATGATAAGTTTCATGTCAATGCCAGGACACTAGCAAACCATTTCCATGTTTCCAGAGCAGATGCACGAGATATCGTGCGACTATGTGACTCCTGTGCCACATACAAACCTGCCATACCGATGGGAGTAAACCCTCGAGGTTTGATCCCTGGTGATGTTTGGCAGATGGACATCACACATATACAGGAGTTTGGGACTCTTAAATATGTTCATGTTTCCACAGACACCTGTTCTCACGTCATATTTGCAACAGCAGAAACAGGTAAAAAAGTGTCTAATGTGATCAATCATTGCCTGGCGGCTTGGGCCGCATGGGGCAAACCAAAAATATTAAAAACTGATAATGGACCAGCCTATATAGGCAAAGCCTTCAATGAGTTCTGCAAAATGATGGAGGTTCAATTAAAACATGGTATCCCATACAATCCCCAAGGTCAAAAAATCATTGAGAGGGCTCATAAAAGCCTCAAAAAAATTTTACAAAAACAAAAAGGGGGAGTAGGCCAAGGCCTGGCCCCAAAGGCACGATTATCCATGGCACTATTCACACACAATTTTTTAAATTTAAATAATGATAATTGCTCCCCAGCCGTGGAGCACTGCAACCCTTCCCCCAACCATAAAGGGTGGGTGAAGTGGAAAGATGTCCTAACAGGACAATGGATGGGCCCGGATCCAGTGGTCAGCTGGAACCGAGGCGCGGTTTGTGTTTTCCCACAGGAATCGAGACGAAAACCACTGTGGGTACCGGAGAGACTGACACGGGCGACAAAGCCCTCGACTGAAGATCAGACCTGCCCTACCGGAGATCCATCACAGACCAACCAACAAGATGAATAAAAATAGCGGTAGCCCGAAATGGACAAGAAGATCCTCAGGCATATACATGGCTCGCTCGCCTAGCCTACGACCGAGTCTAGGGGCGGTGAGCTTCCCACACTCCTCCTCTAAAAAATTATGACATAGCTGGGTAGGAGAGTCAATGACGGGTAAGAGCGTACTCCCCCGGTGCGACTCAACCTAAGCCAGGCCCTACCCCATCCTGCACGTAAGCCGCTGGACTGTTAGATGCTGCCCAGGTCTAAATTTCTCTCCGAGGGGATTTCTTTACGGAGAGGAAATGAGTGCAAGCTTGTGTGCATCCAGGTTCCGTCCAGTTTGTGCCTGGCCCTAGAAAAAGGACGAGGGCCTCAGGGCCTTGGCAGACCATGGGACGGCCGACCAGGGTCTAAGCCAAGGACCTACGGTGGGCCTACGCATAGGGCATAAGCCTCTGCACCCAGTCCAGGAAGGGCTACGATGCGCACATTTATAAAAAAAAATAAAAAAGGGGGAGATGTTGGGAGCCGCAGCCCCGAGCCCGGTCGCCTCACTTGGCGGACGTGAGGCCTGTAGTAAAGAGTAAAGCCTGAGGTAGATTACCCCTCCCATCGAGCACGTTAGTTTCCTGCTTACCGCGTAAGCAACCCGCTCAACAATATAGTCTGCCTGGCAACTGATGATGTTAGCCAATCAGCTTGCCTTGCTCACTTTAACATGATTGGACACTGTATCTGTATATATACTGGTGCCACCCCTGGGGGGGAAGGAGAAGCCCGAAAGTAGAAGCCCAGAAGGAGCCGCGGGGAGCGGACCAGAGGAGGCTTCGGCTGGGAGCGATCCCAGGGCAGGTTGTACGGAGAAGGAAAATAAAAAGAAAAGGTTGTCCACTGCCAGACTTTGTCGTGTGTCCTTCCTGCCGGCCGGGAGCGGACATCGACAGTGGTACTCTTTTCTCTCTCCAGAATGTCCTTCAGCATTCTCTGTAGGGTTGGATTAGTGGCTGTGAATTCCCCCAGTTCCTCTTTGTCTTGGAAGCATCTTGTTTCTCCATTAATTTCTAGAGACATTTTGCAGGGTACATCAATCTGGGCTGGAGGTTATTTTCTTTCAGGGCTTGGAATACTTTGCTCTAAGCTCTTTTTGATTTGATGGTCTGTGTTAAGAACTCTGACATGATTTTGATGGGTTTTCCTTTATAGGTGATCTGTTTCTTCTCTCTGATGGCTTTTAATATTCTGTTCTTATATTGAATTTCTGGGATCTTAATTATTATATGCCTGGGTGTAGCTCTGTTTTGGTTGTTGCCGGCTGGAGTTCTGTATACCTCATACATCTGAATATTATTTCCTTTTACTATGCTTGGGAAGTTTTCCTTAATTATTTCTGTGAATAGCCTTTGTATTTCCTTTGTTTTTACTCCTGCTTATGCATTTACATTCTTTATTCTTAAGTTATAGATTCTCTTGTCATCTTTTAGCCTTTGTATTGTTACTGCCTGTTTCCTTGTTATTTTTAAGAAATTTTTCCTTTCATAATCACACTTTGCAAAACTGTCTTCAAGTTTTGATAGTCTATCCTTAGTTTCTTTCAAGCAGTTTTGCCAGCTTTCAATGGAGTTTATTTCCTGGTAATCTTTTTGAATCTGTTTCATGTATTCTAGGTTTTCTTTATATTCTTCATCGAACATTTCTCTCCATTTTTTGTGCTCTTCCATTCTTCCATCTGTGCCTTCTTGAGAGGTGCTTAGCATTTCTTTTATTAATCTACTTACATATGGCTTTATTTGATTAAATATTTCACTTTTGAGCTTGTCTATGAGGTCCTGAAGATGTGTCTTTATTCTACTGATGCTGTGTCTGATATTGCATGTTTGCTGTCCTCAATCTCTTTTGTATTTACCTCTCCTGGATCAATGTTCTCAAGGCTGAGGGCTGGGGACTTTTTCTTGTTTCTTTCTCATATCATGTTTTTGGTTTCTTCCATACAGGTGTATAGAGGAGCTTCCAGCCCCTTTCCTTGTTGGTTATAGTTCTTCTGAAGCATGCTGACTAGGGATTTCTGCCCTCTCCAGTTAACTGTTGATCACTGAGGTGCAAACAGAGGCTGCGTATGCTGGCCCCTCCCCTTGGGTCAGTCAGCCTGTGGGGTTTTCACTGCATTAGTGTGTGCCATGTGTACAGAATTGGTTTGGGGCAATTTATTGGGTCCTGGCCAGGGGTGTGACTCAGGTCAAGCATATCCCACCAATCTGGTCTGGGAAGGGAACAACTGACTGGTGTCACTGCTGATGATTGTTCCCGCTAGTCCTGCCAGATTCCAACATGTCATCCAGGTGGTTGCCTCTTTCCCCTGGGAGCGTCTTATTCCCAGCATTCACCACGGGTCAATGCAGGTCCCTTGCCAGCTCTGTTCTCTGTTGGGACTCACCAAACTCTGACTTAAGTGCCATTGAGGTTCCAGCAAGTTGCATCAGCAGAAGTTCAGGCAGCTCTGTCAAAGAGGCAGGAGTTTGGGTGGGTTGTTAGTGGCAGGAATTCAGGGGGCTCGGCGAGTTTCAGCCTTGTGAGTTCGGGCACTCTGGCGAGAGCACCATGGCTGCTAATCTTAGCTACTACAATGGTAGCCCAGGACTGCATGTTTGACTGGTTCTTTTCCCTTTAGTTTCTTCCTGGGTCAAGAGGATCCATCTTCCTCTGTCCGGACCTCCCCAAATATTTTATTCCAGCATCTGAGTTGTCTGTCTCAGGAAGCCTCTGTATTCTGCTGCTTATCTATCTACCATCTTTAGCTCCTCCCTCTATTTTTTTAATTTGTAAGTTTGTATCTTTTCAAGAATGAGTATTTTAGAAAACTGATTTTGTGAGAACTGAACATAACTTTCTTTTTAGTAATTAGAAATCCAAAACCACACAGTCTACTCAAACTCTGGGAAAATGTACAATTGTATTAAAGCTCACAGAAAATATACATTAAAGCTCACCTGATTTAGATAATTTTTCCTCTTCATTCACTAGTATATTAATATTTGATACATGCCTTTTTTTGTCTTTTTTCTTTCATGCTGCAAGAAATATACAAAATCAAAAGAACTCTTAATTCCTTAGAAGAAACCTCAAGCAAAAACAAAAGCCTATCCTATAAAATTAACATAAAATTCAGTGGCACTGGAACTATGGAGATAGCTTAGATAAATAAGTTCCATAAGAATAAAGAAGAAACATTTCTGTACAAACATATATAAAAATAATTGCAGGAGGCATATTAAACCTTCACTTTCCTGCCAAAATAATGAACTTGTCAGATAACCCCTGAAACAAGTGTGTGTAGGAAGGTGGATTTTAGTGAACAGACTCCAATTCTCTTCTGTATGTACCCACTGTATCAGATCCTTGCTTGAGGGCTTTTTCTTTTCATAGTATAAACCTTTGATCACAGCACCACCCAACAATTTCTAGAAAAGATAAGATTAGTGTGCCAGGGGTTATTCTTTGTAAAGGTGCCATATCCCTTTCCACCCAGACACTAGAACTAACTTTAAAATCAAAACATTTTGAGTTGTAGTAAAACAAACTTTTTAACATGAGACTTACACTATAAACTTTCTATGTTGGTCCTATTAAACAGTGATCTCAAAGTGGGAGTTTTTCAAGTGCCATGAATCCAACACTTCAAATCTTAGCAGACAACAGATTACATTCATCTCAAAGTCTGCGTGTAAGAAACTATTAGCTGGTGTTCGAGTAGTTTCAATACTGTCTTGAAGTTTGAATAAAGTTACTGTGTAGACATTAAATATTTTGTTTAAATATTATATGTTAAATCATTTTCTTATCAGGAGAGAAATGGAGAAAGCAGAAACAACAGACAAGATAAGAAATAGTCCAGGTAACAGGCTTGTGACATCTATACCATCTGTAACAAGAGGAGGAATTTCAGCATGGTTTTCAAAAATACTTTAAAGTTAATTTTTAAATATTCACCTCTACTTGGCATAAACAATTTTTTTCTACAAAAGATATGATTCCTACAGAGGAAGAAACTTAGAAAAAAGTGGGTGGTTGTCTGTTGTATGATAAAAGGGTCAGTATTACAATATTATAGTCACTTATTTTAATAACCTGTTGTGCATACTTCATACCAATAAAAAAATTATCCCTCCACTTTGCACTATGATTCTTTGCCATGAAGAACTCCCTGAGAAATTAAAAAACTTTAATCCTAATTATCTCCAAAAGATGTCTTACGCCCAGCTTAAGTTCAAGAAGATAAAGACCCTTGCTACCAAAAGCTATTATCTACTGATGTTTAGGCTCACTGCACAATAATTTAAGCACCAAATGGGTATTCCAGTAAAACCTCGGTGTCATATTCATATATTGCTAATTGTGGTTTTTAAAGTTAACACTTAAAAACAACTTTTTTTTTTTTTGTCTTTTTTGTTTTTACGGTACCAGGGATCGAACTCACGACTGCCTGCTTGCAAGGCAGGCACTTATACTGCTGAGCTAAATCGCCAGCCCCCAAAACAACTTTCTAACAGAACAACAACCTTTCCTTATTTTTACTATACATGTTACAGATGCTATTTACCTGACACAGCACTTCCTCAGGATTACTTAAGTATGTTTCTCCCATAGGCAACCTGCAGGGGTAACTTCATCTTAGGGTTTATATAGCTGTCCCCTAAGAGCTTCATGCACTCTGAGGTGGGGCTTTTGGGACTTGGGGATGCAAGTATTAGAGGGGAATTAGGGTATTAGGAGGTCAGGTCTGCTCAGAAGAGGAAGTCACTGGGGATACAACCTAGAAGGGTGTATCTCCCTTGCCAGTTCCTTCCTGGCTGCCATGAGGTGAGCAGCTTTTTTCCACACAGGGCCTTCTGCCATGCCACTGACCATGCAAGGAATGCCACTTTTAAAACGTGAGTCCAAATAAACGTCACATCTTTTAAACTTTTGAGTGTTGGGCATTTTGTCCTAGGTACAAGGAAAGTAATTAAGATATTTCATGGTCTTTTTAACTATCACTCAAACTTAAATATTACTGATCAACCAGGTTTACCAATTATGCAAGGTAAAAGAAGATGCTAAGTATCACAAGGCAGAAAAACTTTGAAGAAAAAACCTCTTTGTATTTTCATTGCATTTTCTAAGACAGAAGAGCCATGATATTACAAGTTATTTAATTAATAAAGCTGTGTTGAACTGTCAATTAATAAACAAGTTTAATAGCCTAATTAAATTTCTTAGCAAGAAGCTTAGGTTATTGCTTTTTTTTTGCTGCTTTCAATCACATACCACCATTATTATTATAAGATGTTCAAAGATACTGTCTGAACTGTGACTCACAGGGTACCGTGGTAACAGGAGCATCTCTCTTTCTTAATCATTCTTTTCAGCTCAAAAGTGTTGTTGAATTGTATAAATGGCTTAGACTCTGACAAATGACTTAAGTCACTCTTACACATACTGCTCCTATACTTACCTTTGATTACTATAATCAAAACTTTTTCTAATAAGCCCACATGGAAAACTATTTTTCTCTTGAAAGGGTTTTTCTTGGCTAAAAGTTAAATCTAGTAAGTTGTTAACCAAAATAAGAGTCCCAGCCCAAATCACAGGTGGATATATGGAATTGGTTTCATAAAACTTTCAAGGCCCTATATTTTTTTAGTAGGCTCATTTCTGAACACAGGAGCCTTTCAAATTTTGACAAATTTAATGTAGAAACTGGTGAGATGATTCTAGTGAGATAATCCTTATACTAATTAGCCCCTTATATTTCACTGTTTATATGATTTATATTTCACTAGGTTTATATGATTTATATTTTGAAAAGTTTATGTAGATAATACTCCTATAATAGTTGTGTGATTCCTGTCTCTTTAGTTTACTTTTATTACAAAGATTATAGTGCTGAACTTTAATTTATAAATGAACTACTTCAATACGAGCATTTTAACCCTGCACATCTTAGTAATCTAAGTTCCAAAAGTCACTTAAGAATTTTAGAAAATGTAAGCAAATTTGCTTGCAACATCTATAATGAAGAATTATTAAAGAACTGGTATACTCAAAAAAACAACTACTATACTCATAAATTTCAAGTTAAAACTTTTATATTTTGGTTTTACAGCATTAACTCCCTAGTGTGGGCTACTGTTTGACACTGTTATTAAAAGACACCGTTATTTAAGTTATTTAAAAAAACACTCAGGCCATTCACATGATTACATTAGACTTACATGTTTATATTAGAATTTTGAAGGATTTCTATAGTCGTTCAAGTGTGGACTAGCTTGAGAATACGAAGCTTTTGGAAGTCACAGTAATAGAGTTCCATCGGCTTGCAGCCTTTGTTTCACTAGAAACCCCAGGAAGGCACAGAGGGAACGGGGAGAATAGGGAGAGAAAGCCCCCTTCCTCATTTTCGCTGGCGCAGCAGCTGGGAGAAGAATAGCAGCCACTGTGAAATCCTCCTAAACCTTCTGCACTACAGAATGTAAGGTTAATCTGGAAGGTGCGTGCGTGCGTGTGTTTTGAAAGAGGATATTAGCTTGCTTAAAGGCACAGATAAAATATGGTGGGAGTGGAAAATGAAGAGGTAACATTCTCACTAAAATTGCACTTTAAAAGCCTTCCTCTGGCAGGGGGACGTCTTTAACTCCACACAGACTGAGCTGAGAACACTGGTTACTGATAGACAGGATACCTACTATATCTAGGTAAAGAATGGAAACTGAGTTAGATTTACTCTGGAGCAGGAGCAGAAAAAAATATTATCTTCTACAAAGGATATTCATCTGTCTAAATAATTACAGCTATTTTGGCCTTAGGACATAACTCTAAATTTTTATAGGTCAAAATTTATTGTCTATATTTTATTTAGTCTATAATAATTTATAGTCTATAACCATTACCTGAGACAGTAACATATTTTTCTTAAAAAGCTAAAACTTGAAAAATTAACTTGCCGGTTGTTTTCTTTATTCCAATTACTGATGCATTGTCAAATTCAAAATAATAAAATGTATATGACATGTATCTTATTAACATTATCTAAAGTTGAAATAAAAATATTTATTTTAGAATAACAAAACTGACATAAGTTATGTTGAAGAATGAGTTTTATACCCTTCTGTTTTGCTTATAAACAAGTCATAAGCAAATTTTGAAACAAAGTAAAACATTTTCTTTAAGAACTCGTTTTACAATATAACCTGCAATCAGAGTGCCCTAATAAATGTGTTATCTTGTCTATTACAACATGTCTGCCAGTTCATAGTTTACCAGTAAGGAGCTTTTTTTTTCTGAGTTTAAGATTATATTGAAAAATAGAATGAATAGTTAAAATAACTTCATTTATAGTATCTTATCTATTATTAAATAGGTCCCATCTTGAAACTAAGTATACAACCTCTTTACTTTTACACAATACTTGCATTCATAAACATCATTTTAATTCTAGCCAGGAATATATTTATCATTTATTTTTCAAGCCAAAAAGTGTTTATTTTTTGGAATATATAGTCTTATAAAACTATAACACATGTTGTGCTTAAGAATAAGATTAGTTCACATAAAGAATATTTTCCTGCTTTTTTTTTTTTTTTTTTTTTTTTTTTGTCTCTTTGAGACAGGGTCTCACTGTGCAGTTCAGGCTGGCCTTGGGCTCACTCTGTAGCCCAGGCTGGTCTCAAACTTTCAAAGATCCTCCTATCTCAGCCCCCCACCCCCAAGTATCTGGGATTACAGGAGTGCATCACACACCTAGTCCTGTTTGCTTTCTTGCACTTCAAGTAAAAATATAACATTTTGTGTACCATTTTACTGTTTGGGTGATCCTTGGGACTGATTCTCAAAAGGTAGAAGAAAAGAAGACACAAAGGATCATTAAGATTTCACTGGGGGCTGGGGATTTAGCTCAGCGGCATAAGCACCTGCCTTGAAAGCAGGCAGTCGTGAGTTTGATCCCTGGTACCAATAAAAATGAAAAAACAAAAAAGCAAAAAAAAAAAAAAAAGATTTCACTGGAGGATATTATATCCTTAAACTTAGATTATCCCTAGAATGGACAGACATGATAGTTTTTATATTTGTGTTATAGTGAAATTATGAAATTTATCAGCTTGTTTTAATGAGCTTATACAATGATTCTTATGTTTCAACTTCTCTAGAAACTCCATAGTAACTATATTTTTTGTGCACATTTCTTAAGCAAGAGTACATTCAGATGAGTGAGTCACACCCTTTATTTCTCCTTTCAATTTTGTATTTGCTTGATGTATTTCATAATGCTGTTGTTATGTGTTATGCATAAGCACTGGCTACAGTATCCTGTCTGGGCCAAAACCCTTTCAGTAGCATGTACCTGGGACATGAAGATACTAAGCCAACCTTTCCATTAAAAGGCAAAGATTGTTATATTGCACTAATTCTTCAGCATTAATGAGATGTTCTACTGTATCTATTAATACTTCTGGTCATATAATCAACTCTGTCTGATACTTACACAGCCATTCCAGTTCTCTCTCATCATAGTCATTTGCATCATTTTCAACTTATTTACACATTATAATCTACTGTATTTTCTTTAGACAATATAAAGTTAGGTCTTGTGTTTTTAAAATACAGTCTGTTTTAGTCAGCTTTGCATTACTGTAAGAAAATAAACAACTGAGATAATCAACTTAAAAAGAGGAAAGAAGCTGGGTATGGTGGCACATGTGAGAAATCTCAGCCCTTGGGAAGCTGAAATAGGAGCTTGTGAGTGTGAAACCTGCCTAAACTACATGGAGAGACACTATCTCAGAAAAGAAGGAAGGAAAAGAAAAGTTTTATTTTGTTTTGGACTATAGTTTTGAAGGTTCCAGTCCATGTTTAGTTGGCCCTGCTGTTTTTGGTCCTGCAGTAAATTATACATCATGGCAAGGAGCCTGCAGCCAAAGATGCTGCTTATCTCATGGCAGGTGGGAAGCAAGAAGACAGAGACCAACATCCTAGAGTCCTCTGGGTTTTCTGTGATAGCATGCAGATCTCATACCTCCCAAAAGCATCGAACTAGATCTACTACCTCCCAAAAGCATGAAATTAGAGACCAACTCTTTATTTGGCACATAGGCATTTACAGGGGGAGGCACTGAAGACTCATTGTACAGCACTGTTTGATAATCTTTGCCTTTTAATGGAAAGGTTGGCTTAGTATCTTCATGTCCCAGGTACATGCTACTGAAAGGGTTTTGGCCCAGACAGGACACTGTAGCCAGTGAAGCCTTAGAGGCGGAACCAAGGAGCTCCTATCTCCCCCACCCCTAGGAATTTACCTGTGATCCATCTTCCCCACCCCCTAGGAATTTACCTATGGCGCCAAACCCAGACCAGTGGGCTACCTGGGCATCCCTGATGCCCCTTTAGGTTCCATCCCAAACTGAGGCTACTTACATACCCCCAATATCACATGTCCACCAGAGAGAAAGTCAGCAGTCAGGGTGTTTGGCGCTGTCATCTTGGGACGGATCTCAAAGTCAATGGCCACCCCCTTGTGGTTCCTCTTGTGATCAGCAACAGTCACCCTGTTGCAGACCACATGACGGTTCATTGTGCTGCGGACAGCAATTTCATCCCTGCAAGGCACACAGTGAGACGCCATCTGCCAGTGTTTCCTCATCCCAGGGTAACTGGCAGCCACCTTGTGGCCAATCTATAGATAATCGCTCACACACCCCTGCCAGATGGATGGCTGCCCAATGGCCATCTCCTCCGCAAACTTCTCCTCAATCTCTGCTACCAGTTCGGGAGCAAGCTGGCACTGAGGGACTTGTTAATATACATGTGCCTTTCTTCCTTTCTGACTTATCTCAGATTACCCATAAATTAGGTAGCTTCTCTGTTGACCCACAGAATTATATCAGAGAATTTGAATTTATTACTAATTGTTATGATTTATATTTTAAGGATGTTTGTGTGATTCTAAATACCACTCTCAGCTCACAAGAGTGAAATCAGCTGCGGCAAGCAGCTCAAGAAGAAGCTGCTTCTTCTCGAGTGGTGTTCGCAGACATAAGACGAACACCACTGATAAGGACCCTGGGCCTGCAGCTGTGCCAGAACAAGATCCTAACTAGAACTATCAAAACAGTGAAGGTTCGACAAAATTACATAAAATGATTGAGTGTCTGATTGTGGGCCTTAATAAGATTGTTCACAAACACACTTACTATAACAAACTTTTAGAACAGGTCCAGGAGGTTAATGAAAACCCAGCTGTGTTCCTAAATCAGCTTCAGAAAACCTTAATTAAGTTTACTGATGTAAACCCAGACTCTCATGAAAGGATGATTGTTGTTAACTCTTATTTTATTTCCCAGTCTGCTCCTGATATTCGTGCAAAATTACAAAAGGTTGAACATGGCTCTCAAACTCCGTAAAGGGATCTACTTAAATTAGCTTTCTGTGTCTTCAACAACAGAAATAAAATTCAAAAAGAGGAAAAGCAAGCTCAAAAATTAAAATTTGCTAAATATCAGTCTGATCTTTTAGTAGTGGCACTCGGGGCTCCCAGGACAAGAAATCTGAAACAAGGTGTGGCTGCCCGAGTCCCACCCAGACTGTGCTTTAAATGCAGCAAACAAGGACACTGGGCAAAGGATTGCCCCAATCCTGGCATCCCTCTAGGACCATGTCCATACTGCAATAATAAGGGCCACTGGAATAGTGACTGTCCTAGCTGCCAGTGAGCGGGTAAGCCATCCTCTAATCCCTTGCCCTCACAGGAGACTCCGTCAATGCCAGATTCATCACTGACTGACCTGCTCGGACTTGCTGCGGAAGATTGACAGGGCTCGGGGCTCACAGCCCCCACTCCGGTAACCTTGTCGGAGCCCCGAGTCTCACTGAAGGTCTCAGGTAAGATAATATCTCTGCTTGTAGATATGGGGGCGATTTATAGTGTACTTCCTGATTTTTCAGGACCTTGTAGTAAGTCCTTGATTTCTGTTGTGGGTGTTGAAGGCCAGCCTACTCAACCTTTGCAAACTGGGCCTATCCCACGTCGATTCCAGAATCTTTTCTTTACCCATAGCTTCCTAGTAATCCCAACATGTTCCACACCCCTTTTTGGTAGAGACCTTCTTCAAAAGCTTAATTTTTCCTTTACTTTCTCTCTTCCCACAGCCCTAATCCTCCAAACAGCCTCACAATGTGTCACAAAGCCATTCCCTCCCCTTCCTCCTTCTCTGGTTGACCCCATAGTTTGGGACACATCCAATCCTACTCTGACTACACATGCCATGACTGTTTTAATAGATCTCAGGAATCTCTCAGTTTTTCCCTGCGTTTCCCATACCCATAGCTCCCCAACATTTAAGGGGACTTAAACCCATAATTAAGTGCCTTGTGGACAACAGTTTTCTTAAACCTACCCATTCACCCCACAATACTCCCATTCTCCCGGTACTCAAGCCTGATAGGTCCTATCGCCTGGTACAGGACCTTAGGGTAATTAACAGTGCTGTTACCCCGACTCACCCAGTTGTGCCAAATCCCTATACCATGCTCTCTCATATCCCTCCCTCCACCACTCACTTTACAGTTATAGATCTTAAAGATGCCTTCTTTACTATCCCCCTATACCCTGATTGCCAGAACCTCTTTGCGTTTACATGGACTGTCCCAGACACTCTCAGGTCTCAACAACTTACTTGGACAGTGCTCCCCCAAGGGTTCAGAGATAGTCCCCACTTCTTTAGTCAAGCTCTTGCTACTGACCTCATAGAACTTGATCTCAAACCTAGCGTTCTTCTTCAATACATAGACGACCTTCTATTATGTTCTCCATCCCATATGTTAGCCATACACCATTCAGCCAGTCTTCTTAATTTCCTTGCTAGTCGTAGATCCTGGGTCTCTTCTGCTAAAGCCCAGATAGCCTCCCCAAAAGTCAAATACCTAGGTCTCGCTCTCACCCCTACCACTTGTGCCATCACCTCAGATCGTAAGGCAATTCTTCATGATCTCCAGGTGCCCACAACTAAACAACAGGTTACATCTTTCCTAGGTTTAGCTAATTTCTTTTGTCTCTGAATTCCTAACTTTGCAGCCCTAGCTCAACCCCTCTACAAGGCTGCTAAGGGTCCTTATCAGAACCCCTGGGCCCTACTAGGCTAATACATGCCTCCTTTCATAAATTAAAAGAGGCTCTCCTAAAAGCTCCAGCTCTTACCCTTCCTGATCCCACCCAACCTTTCATCCTATACACTACTTGTCAGGGCCACAATGCTATAGGTGTACTAGGACACAAAAAGGGACCTTCTTTTCAAGCAGTAGCTTACTTGTCAAAACAGTTAGATCACACAGTAAAAGGATGGGCTCTTTGTCTCCGAGCTCTTGCAGCTGCAGCCCTCCTGACACAGGAAGCTAAAAAGTTTACATTAGGGCAATCTATTACAGTACACTCACCTCATCACCTACATGAGCTTATCTCACATAAGGTGCTCCTTGCCCTAATGACCCCTCTCGCCTTCAACAGGTACACTTAGCTCTTTCAAGACCCTTGCATCTCTATTGCAACTAGTGGTCCTCTTAATGTAGCAACCTTACTTCCTACCTCAGAGGGCCATCCTTATCATGACTGTATTGAATTCTTACAGATGACTCCCACCCCTTTCCCTCACATCAGTAGCATACCTCTCTCTTTAGCCTTTGACTCATGGTTCATAGATGGCAGTTCAACAAACTCAGACAACCAAAAGAGGGCAGGATATGCAATAGTTAACCAGTTGAAAGTTATAGAAGCAAATCCTCCACTGCCACCTGGCACCTCATTGCAGAGAGCAGAACTTATTCCCCTTACAAGGGCTCTTACACTAGCAAAAGACAAGATTATAAATATATACACTCACTTAAAGTATACATTTAGCATTTTACACTTTCATGCCTCTATCTGGCAAGAATGGGGTTTTATTACCATTCAGGGAACCCCCATCATTAATGCTCCCCTTATCCTTAAACTTCTCAAGGCAGCCCAACTGCCAAAGCAGGCAGCAGTTATTCATTGTAGGGGACACCAAAACTCTACAGATCCTATTGTTCAAGGCAATGCCTTTGCAGATTCACAAGCCAAGTTAGCTGCACAAGGGCCCTGCCCTTCTCATCTTCTCCCGTTAGTCCCAAACAGTCTACCTCAGCCTAATTATTCACCAGAGCAGTTACAGCTTTACTTCATAAACCAGGTTACACACAAAACACTCAGGGATGGACTTTTCAGGGATCTAAACTTGTTCTCCCACATCAACAGGCCTTAGACATCATCACTGACTTACACAACTGTTTTCATATAGGATCACAGGCCCTATACAACCTCTTAGCCCCAATAGTCACACACCCTTCTCTAAAAGCTATCATTCTTAAGATTACTCACACCTGTTATCTCTGTGCTAGGACCTCTCCTCAGGGACGTATGGCACCCCCTTCCTTTCCTATCTATCAGTTTTGAGGACACACCCCTGGTCAGGACTGGCAGATAGATTTTACACACATACCCCACCACAAAACTCTCAAATATCTTCTCACCTTTGTTTGTACCTTTTCAGGATGGATAGAAGCCTTTCCCACAACCAGGGAAACTGTTGTTGTAGTTACCAAAGTCATATTACAAGAAATCATTCCAAGGTTTGGTCTACCTCAGTCAGATAATGGTCCCGCCTTTATTTCTCAGATCACCCAACAGGTATCCTCAAGCTTACACATCAGCTGGCACCTACACATCCCATACCATCCCCAATACTCAGGAAAAGTAGAAAAGGCAAATGGCCTCATAAAGACACACCTTACAAAACTCACTTTAGAACTACACCAACCTTGGCCTCAACTTTTGCCCTTAGCCTTAACCAAGCTCAGGGCACTTCCCCAGGCTCCTATTTTCTTAAGTCCTTTTGAACTTATGTATGGCAGGCCATTCTTACTCCACAATCTTCCTACTCCCCAAAATCTCCCTCCCCTTGCTGACTATGTCCCAGTCCTCTCCTTCCTCCGACACTTGTTGTGACAACATGCTGATCTCTGCCTTCCACAACCCTTGGAGAGGCCAAACCAGATCCTCCCATATCCCCAGGAGATCTAATTTATCTCAAATGTTCTAAACCCACAGGACTACAACCAAGGTGGAGTGGCCCCTATCTAGTCTACTTGGCTACCCCTACAGCGGTCAAAGTTGCTGGACTCCCATCCTGGTTTCACATCACTCAGGCTAAGAGGTGCCCTCCCAGCCCTAAATCTGATCATTCTGAGTGGTCATCACATCTTCTGTCACCCACCTGTCTCTGTTTGCAGCCACAGTTAACAGGCTAAGTCATGTTTTGTTATCCACTTTGGTTCCTAATTTCTTATGTTCTATTAATGATCATTTTTACAGCAGGACTCTTGACAGTCTTTCCTAAAGACTCCCACATCATGTGTAAGATAATCTTCATAATGTTCTATGTGATGACTGTTGCAGTTCTTTCTACCCTTAGCTGTCTGGTTAAACGTGACATCCCTGAAAGCCTAATCCCTTACCTTCCCTATACTGGTACAGCCATTGCCTTCCCTGCTCCCCCTATTTTTTCCAGTTCAACTCCTGGACCGGAGACAAGTTTTACGCACCTACCCTCTTAACTTTTATGCTTTCATATGGGGGAGTAATCACCTCTCTAACTTTACTTCTCCTAACCCCACGTTTAATTTTCAGAATTCTGCCTTACCGTGGAAATGATTCTACCTTAACATGGTCCTGATCCAATGGCATGTCTAAATAGAAGGCACCTTTCCTTCTACTTCACCTGGGTCCTTAAATATGACAGTGTCATGTCTCCTCATAACATCTTGTCTCTTTGTTTTTCCAGTCTAACATACGTGCATTCACCAGTGAAGTTGTCCTGGCTAAAACACCTGGCACCAGTATCTACCTGGGCATCAACTGTCATCCTGTCGATTCCCCTAGACTCCAATCCAGTGCCTCCTGCCAGCAGGAAGTAGTTAAAGAGAGAAATCTTTGCCTCTTTTCATAATAATAATCATAAGATGGGATATGAAAGGGTTTTGGCCCAGACAGGACACTGTAGCCAGTGAAGTCTTAGAGGCGGAACCAAGGAGTTCCTATCTCCCCCACCCCTAGGAATTTACCTGTGACTCCATCTTCCCCGCCCCCTAGGAATGTACCTATGGCGCCAAACCTAGACCAATGGGCTACCCGTGCATCCCTGATGCCCCTTTAGGTTCCACCCCAAACCGAGGCTACTTATATAGCCCCGATGCCACGTGTCACCAGAGAGAAAGCCAGACTCCAACAGTCGGGGTGTTTTGGTTTTCTCTCTCCGTGTTCTTAGAATAAAGGCCTCTTTTGTTTTATACTTCTCATCTTTTGCATATAATCTTATCAGCTACCAGTGCATGGATTTAGACCATAACCTTCTCCATGTCCTGATGGGTATAGAGAATCCAGTCATCAGAACCAGCATAGAACTCTGCTTCAGTCAGTTTTCTTTTCCTACTGAACAATCCTTATTCTTCCACTTATGTTTCTTTTTGTAGTGATTGGAAACATATATATACACAAACACACACCCTTCTCTCAGAAGTCCCAGCTGCAGCCAACATCTTAGTAAACGATCAAAAATTTTAAAATCAGAAATAAGACAATGATATCCACTGTCATCACTCCAGTTCAATATAGCTCTGGAAACATTACCAAGAGCAATTAAATAAGAGAAAGAAGTAAAAAGAATATAGATAGGAAAGGAAGAAGTTAAACTATTATTATTTGCTGATGACATGATACTCCACACAAAAGACCCCAAAATTCCACCAAAAGATTCCTAGAATTTATAACCATATTTGGCAGCATAGTAGGATACAAAACCAACACTGAAAAATCAACAGTATTTTATCTACACAAATAAGAAACCCAGTGAGAGAGAAATAAGGGAAACACCTTTCACAATAGCATCAAGAAAAATGAAATACTAAAAATCAATTTCATCAAGAAAGCAAAAGACCTATTCATTGAAAACTACAGTACTCTGACAAAACTGAAATGTGTATGTACATGTACTGACTCTCCATGACAAATGTAATCATTATATACTGCAAACATGTATTAATAAAAATTCAAATATCAAAAAATACTTATTTAACATTTTATTTGATGAGTTTTATTAAAAGCATTAAATATGCCTTTTGTATATGATAGTACCCTTTAAGTATTATTCTGTCATTTTGTTTTTTCATGTAATTTTCCTGGACATATTTCATTAAATAAAAATCTACCTATTCTCATTGCTGTACAGTGTTCCATAGGGTATTCTTGTCTGTCTTACACTAGTGTGCATTTATCTGGAGTGGATATCAAGAAGTTAAATCCCTGGGTAAAGGGATACATGCATGTTGGATTTTAGCAGATGTTGACATTCTACCTTGGGGAAGAGGGAAAGCTGTCAGTCTATAACAGTTTACATTTCCACAGTGGCATATTCCTTTTCTTTATCTTTTTGTTGTTGTTGTTGAGAAAGTATTTTGCTGTGTTCCAGGCTGCCCTTGAACTCCCTGTGTATCCTAGGTAAGCCTCAAACTCATGATTCTCCTGCCTTATCCTCCTAGAGGGCTAGTATTATAGGTGTCCACCACCATGCCCAGCTCATTTTTCGATAACAACAACTCTGATATCCTCAAACACCTTCACTTTTATTAAATTGGGGAAAATACAGTATCTTTTTAAAGTAAACCTTTCTATTGGAGTATAAATAAGAATAAAGGACACTATACAAATCAAATTTGTATTCAGGTTGGGAAGACATATAATCCTAGCACTCTAGGAGGCTGAGACAGAAGGACTGGAAGTTTGAATCCAGCCTGAGTAACTTAGTGACTAGGGACATCCTCCCTTTAAAAAAAAAAAAAAACTAGAGAAAGCTAGAGATGTAGCTCAGTAAACAAAAAGTCCTGAGTTCAATCCCAAGTACCCCACCAGAAAGAAAGAAAGGACTGAACTGGGGGATGGGGAGAGGGAGAAAGAAAGAGGTATAGAGAGAGAGGAAGACAGGGAGAGAGAGAGAGAGAATTTAACTGAATTAGTTTTTACAAACAAGCCTGCCATGTAACACTAGCCCATTTGAAGACATGGTCTGTTACTGTTACTATCAGCTCAGAAACCTCT